ATGATTTGAAAAAAGTACATATGGTCCCTTGTTCTATAATCAAATTTTCGAGGAAAATTGGGCGAGATATCTCTGTTCAAAAGAATTATGCTAATGAGCGATTGTTTTCTCTTAACGTTAGGTGAAAACACGGTAATGTATGTCTCACCGCATTTAAGATTGTTACCTTCATGCATATGGTTGCATAATAATGCAATTGAAGGTCATATTGGTGTTAATGAGAGTTTAATGACCATAATGAAAGAAATTTGGACACAAATGAATGTTTGTTTTCTGTAAATGAACAGCAAAAGGTGCAAACTTCTTTATTTCAAATACTTGCAGTCTTTCATGTTAAGTGCACTGAACAGGTAACTTACATTTCTGGATACAATTGTACGTACTGTAGCGCTCCAGATTCTTTAACTAAGCGACCTGCTTCCAAAAACCCGGCGAAAATTATGCGTTATCTTTCTAGGAAGCCATCATTGCCTCGTGCATAACGTTTCCGCGTTCTAAGGTAAATTTCGAACTCAATTTTGGCTGCCATTTTATTTTGGTCTTCTCAAAATGTCACGTGATAAAAATCTCCAAGATTTTTCGGCGATTTTATACCACCTGACCCAGCCTTTGACAGGGTCTTCTCCCGACGAGCCGCCATTTTGAAAATCGTCGAGGAGAAGGCCCTGGGGACGAGGTTGGGTAACAACAGAAAGATAACAAGATAACAACAGAAAGCAAGAATTAACAGGTAAAGAAGATCGCGAAAAAGATTGGCCCAACGCTGGGGAATGAGTCGAAACAGTACAGAACAACGCTGTGAATTATAGCGAGCCAAGGGCTATAGAAAGGGGATGAAATAATACCGAACAACGCCGAGGGCTGCACAGGCACGCAAATGATCCTCAAATTGTACCGCAATGATCCCAGGACCGGAAATGATTCCCAGATTGTACTGTAAATGATCCCGGACCGGAAATGGTTGCCTCGCCATAAAATTTGGAAATGTAAGGACTCAGGAATTTGGACAGTGGATTTAAAATTTATGCAATCGCTTTTTTAGTACCGTGAAACTCAGAAAACCGTGAACCTTTGAATTTGATTCCAAAAGGTTAATTTGGTATTGAACCAATCACAATAAAGTTCAGGACACGCGAGAAAACTTTAAGACCGAGTTTACCAGAGGACCAGGCAGGGATGATACATGCCATCTCTCCTTTTTGGATGAAACTTTGCCAGATTGAAGGCGCTACCCAATAACTCTTAAAGACAAAGTGGGCCGGCTTTGGGATTTTTCCCTTAGGAGTTAGACCACCCCCCCGGTTTTTTGCCCAAAATCCAAAAAAAGCCACTAAAATAAGCATCAAATTTAGACACCACTCCTGCTACAGAATGCATTGAATTTTATTGATATTTTACACAAATATAGATCGGACCTATCTTAGTTCACACTAGGAGTTTCAAGTCATTTGAAGTGACAGGTGCCAATCAAGGATTGTCATTTCCTACCCATGCCACGCAACATTTAGCTATGAGGCAAATTACCTCAAATTCTGACTCAAATATTACTAAAATCCAACTTTCTAAATCAAAACTAATTTTTACCACAGTTTAGAGTCACCCTTGGTCTAATGAAATTAA